TGGATGTTGTGGTATCATATGCTAGGCTCTCCTGCATCAAACGTCGACCATTACCTTTTGCTAAGAAACCTCAAGCACTTCTTTTGCCTCTTGACACTGAACTGTCTGTGTAAATGATCAAATCCTCTGAGCGAGCATTATCTTGAATTAATTGCTGAATTTCCACCTCTGTGGCATCTGCTGGCCATTCTTTGCATTCCCGGCTCAGTGGGATGAAGTCTAACTGTTCAGGTGGCACTTTGACACACTCCTCTCCTCGCCTAATGTTCTCCCGGATGCAAACCTGTCTGATTGTGTCTTCTGTCTGAGCCATCCATGGCTTCCCTCTTATCAGCCACTGACCCTTAACTGCACCCAGAGCTTGGTGCAAAGGGTGGTCTGTGTCTGAGATATGACTTTGCCTGCAGCACCTTGTGCCTACCTGCAATAGACAGCAAGCCAATGATGTATCGCGAACACACTACTGGGGTATCTCTGGTGCAACCCAGAATGACCCGCATAGCTGCGTTCTGAATGCGCTCTAGATTTAGGGTTAAAGATAGCAAAACAGAAATCGAACCAAACCGCAAAAGAACATCTTGTTGTCACGTGATGTGTTTAGGCTATCCAGGAAACTCCAGGGTTTCCTTTTTTTGAGGTAGATTAAAATGTAAGCACCAATGTCTTACACTTTGAAACAAAAATAGCTTTATATATAACATCATCATCAAGTGCCTTGCCAACTGGTGTGGGTAATAAAGCTTCGCCTAATCTGCGATTTCCAACAGGAGGTATCAGTTCATTTGCTGACATCTACCCCTCCATGCAATGACAAAAGACTGTCAAGAATCTTCTGGTGTTATCCTACAAATCTTTCAAGTGATCACACAACAAGTGCCAGTTTTCATCTTCTTATAATAAGGCTGAAAAGGGGCGACATTCTTCTTCTGATGTATGTGATAAGATGCTATGTTGCATGGACAAGCAGGAAGGGCCTGGAATAACGAGAACATCTTTGCAGCTAGGTGAAAAGCTGGGAGTCTGAGAAGAAGCACATTTAGTACACGATATAGCATTTGTGGCTTAGGCGTTGCGAGTCAGACTCGTAATTCCAGTGTACCGCGATCGAAACCCACTGCTGGCCATGTGGATTTTTAACCACGAGGTTGACTAGCATAAAGATGGGCGCAGTTGTTGGAGGCAATTTAGATAATAAAAATTCAAATAAGAAAGAGAGTATTCAGGGATGATTTTCATCTCTAGGTACATAGGGCATCTACTGAATCTACACTTTGATACACTATTGGCACTCGATGGTTAACCTGGTCAATATCACGCTGCGTTTACTTTCCATGACATGTCCTGAGTATTATAGTTGCAAGAGTAGATGTTGTTAGCTTCGCAAAGTGCAAGAGTAGATGTTGTTAGCTCCACAAAGTGCAAGAGTAGATGTTGTTAGCTCCACAAAGTGCAAGAGTAGATGTTGTTAGCTCCACAAAGTGCAAGACCAAATGTTGTTAGCTCCACAAAGTGCAAGACCAGATGTTGTTAGCTCCACAAAGTGCAAGACCAGATGTTGTTAGCTCCACAAAGTGCAAGAGTAGATGTTGTTAGCTCCACAAAGTGCAAGACCAGATGTTGTTAGGTCCACAAAGTGCAAGAATAGATGTTGTTAGCTCCACAAAGTGAAAGAGTAGATGTTGTTAGCTCCACAAAGTGCAAGAGTAGATGTTGTTAGCTCAACAAAGTGTAAGAGTAGATGTTGTTAGCTCCACAAAGTGCAAGACCAGATGTTGTTAGCTCCACAAAGTGCAAGAGTAAATGTTGTTAGCTCCACAAAGTGCAAGATCAGATGTTGTTAGCTCCACAAAGTGCAAGAGTAAATGTTGTTAGCTTCACAAAGTACAAGACCAGATGTTATTAGCTCCACAGAGTACAAGACCAGATGTTATTAGCTCCACAGAGTGCAAGAGTAGATGTGAGCACCACAAAGTACGAGAGCAGAAGTTGTTAGTTGGTAGATTTTGTAGAAGTTGTTCGGAGTTCTGAAGTTTTCTCCCAGAACTTGAGTTTTGGGTGCACATTTATGTTACACATCTGGCTTATTTGTATACAGACTGTTGTTTTCTCATAGCTCAGGCAGATGTAATCTGACTATGAAGGAAACACCCCTAATTATTCGCCTTTTACAACATACTTGTTAGGGTGCAGCTAGTCTAGTCCCCCCCCCCCCCCCCACATAATGGGGCCTGAAACAAACACTGGGAGCATGTTCAAAATATTTCTTCTATTTTACTGGTCTGCACATGTAAACAGTTTGAAGAACACTGATGACCTTACGATTAGTGGTAACTGTAGTACGGCTCCAGGTCAGGTCTCCCAAGTCAAACCACCAGATGGGCGAAGACTGGACAATGTCAAACACACAAACCTGTAGCCTACATGTAGAACAGGTAAAGACCAGAGTAAAGAGGTGTGAAAGAAATCCCTATCAAAAGTGAATATATAGGACCACACATTCCCAACAAGGATCCAACTTAATTAGATTTAGAATAGCAAAAGATACAAGTTTATTTAAACAGGTAAAGAAGTTTCAAACTTACAACAACAAAAATCACATTCAAACATTATTGCAGATTTCAAGAGTAATTTCTTTTTGATCTGGTTTCCCAAGTCTAAAGAGCTGGTGTTTCAAGCTAAACTTCAGGAAAATAAACACTAAACAACTGATCTTAAGATTCAGTTAAAGATATTTAAGATAAACCTCAAAATAAAAACAACCTGTATATTTCTCTAATAACAAGTGTAAATTTTGCAGATAAGGATGTTTGTGAAAAATTATTGATTAATTACAAATAAACTCACCATTGTTTTTATTTGGTGTGTGTGTGGGTGCATGTGTGTGGGTGTGTGTGTGTAGGTGTGTGTGTGGGTGCATGTGTGTGTGTATGTGTGTGGGAGTGGGTGTGTGTGTGTGCATGTGTGTGGGTGTGTGTGCATGTGTGTGTGGGTGTGTGAGGGTGCATGTGTGTGTGGGTGTGTAGGTGTGTGTGGGGGGTGTGGGGGATGTGGGTGTGACAATATAAGAAACATTCATATGAACCCATTCCAGTGGCTTTATTATAAAAGCAAAAATAAATAAACAACAGGTGTGGCAGAATTAAAGAAAGCATTCTGAACAAATTATGCACCATATGTTGGTCAGAAAAAGTCACTGTAGGCATTCAGGCAAGCATCCCATGTCTTAGGAAGGCAGCAAATGCTGTCCCAAAAAAGGATTGTGGTTGCTCACTGAACTACGTTTTTACTGCATTCATTATGTCTGCAACAGTGTGAAATCATTGTCTCTTGTCAGCTTTTTCTTCTTCTGCATTCATCCAAAGATGTAACTGTGCTGTGTCCGTTTGCAGCATTGCTGCGATATTTGCACCTTTCAGCCAACACATCTTACTTCTGCGGGCATTTGTTGACCAGGTTAGCCTTCCTGGTGACAGCTTTTTAAGAGGTCCAAAACAAATCAAAATCACATAGTGACAAATCAGGACTGTAGGATGGATGTAGTAACATTTTTTACTTCTTTCATTGGTAATGCTTCCTGCACAATCTTTGTTTTGAGCATGTTTTCTTGTTTGTTTTTTCCCCCTGACTCCAGTCAAGTGCACACAAGGTAGCAGAAATTTGTAAATTTATAAAATAAAAAAACAAACAAAAAAACATGGAGATTAAAGACACATTTTTCCAGCTGAGAATCTACAAAGAAAAAAAAAGAAAAAAATTAATTATTGGTTACTTTAATTTTAAAAGTGGTTCTTATTACGATTCCAGGCCCAAATAGAGCATAATTGGGCTTTCACACCTGTGACATTAGCTAGTGTATGTTACAGGGGTGCCACATTGTGTTCTCTCCGCTGCTATCAGCAGCGATGTTGCCTATTCTATACTACACGACGACACTGCTTTTAAGGACCCCAGAACAAATAGAACTGGCCCTAACCCCAATTCCCCCCGGCCCCCAACCCAACAGCCCCAGCCTTGGTCCTTCATGAGAGCCCAGAGTACATCCCATAGTTTCAGAATTGTTTCAATTTTCTGCTGCAACCTAAAAACCCATCTTGCTGCAGAAAAGCAACGCTTTTCTCCTTGTCGCACCTAAATGCTGACAGCTGACCTAAATTCATGTTGTACCTGAACTCCGTAATATGTGCAATGTCACTGCTCGTTCGCAACAATGAGTAAAACATACTTCGTAGCTCGCTGCCTATACTACGCACAATATAAAACCTCTTCCTAAACAGAAGACAATGTGACACCCTTCTAACATAGACCAGCCTGTGTCACAGGTAAGAAAGCATGAATGAAAGCTCAGGTACACTCTATTTGGACTGGACTTCGTAACAAGTTCCTTTAAAGTATACTGAATACTTTGTGTGCATCTTTCTAAATTATATGACCTGCATGTGTGCTCAGAAATGAACAGGTGGATGGTGTGGCAGGTGCTGCACAACTGGGTAGTGACTCTGAGGCATGACAAGCTACATGTGGTCACGGCCCTTTGGGAGCAAGTGAACAAGGCTAAATCATAAATAGATCATTATGGTGTGGGCAGAAAAGTGCACAGGGAGTAACCACATACTCTGGCTGATATTAGACACTCAGAGGAAAGGCATGATGGACATATAATCAGACTGATGCCTGTACCATCCCATGGCGACAGCACTAGACATGCGGCCCTAAATGCTCAGGCTCACAACGCCCTGTCTACACCACCCTAAAAAAGTGGTAAAACTGACAAATGTGACAGCAACCTGTACCATCAGACGTGGAACTCTTTGCTGGCTGCTGTAGATGTGGATAGAGTGCTTATGGGAATGCTCATAGTAAAGTTGGTGGCTGATTCAAGTCAACTAATATATGGCTATTTAAAAAAAAAATAACTGTTTATGATGTGAACACATTGAAATGCTCTTGTTCAAGTAGATTTCAATTCTTTTGACTTGGATTATGTAAAAAGAACTCAATAGCTAGCGTACGGATTGTTTCCTCTGTTTAACAAGGGTTTCAGTTTCAATTCGTTGCTCTTCCTCAAGTGCTGTTTGTCTTTTGATTTCTGCAATCTCAACCAGAAACTGTGGATGTAAAATTACCACGTGAATTACCCAATTAAAATTGTATGTATGAAAAGGTTTCAAATAAAAACTTTAAAAGTGTGGTAAATTAGTTCGATATGTACCAACGCTAATCAAGTACACGGGCAACTCCCCTGTTGGCACACAAGCAGATACCCCGGAGTACTAAAGTGAATCTTATCAGAACTATTTTTTGGCCAACACTATGCTATCAGTGTCAAACATGGACACTTCTATCCTCTAATAAACGTAAAATTGTGACAATAGAGATGAAATGCTTTATAAGAGCTGCTGGAGTTTCAAGGAAAGACAGAATATGAAATCAGAAGAATGCTAGGAATAAAGCCAGTCTTACAGGTCATCATAGAACAACAAATGTAGTGGTGTGGACACCTAACAAGAATGCCCTGGTACTATCTACCAAAGAGAGCCACACTGAAACGTTACAACGGGTATAGAGCGAGCGAAAGACCTCGTAAAAAATAGAGTGATGGCATTAAGAACAGCCTTATAGAAATGAACATCCATTCTAATAGTGCTCTTGAAAGAGCTCATCAACGAACGTTACATCTCTCCCCAACAATTTGCTGAGGTAAAAGTCGGAGAGAAGAAGAAGAAAAATAAAAATGATATAGAAGTTACAATAACCATGCCATTGTCTTGCAACCTGTCAATATTGCGTCACTTGCTGGACTGACAGGCATGCATCACCATAACGGACATTCATTTATATATGAATTTCTAGAGATTCCACACATAAACTGATTTTAAAGAATGGACAACAGAGTGCTGCTCCTCTTTGGTGCATGTCAAAAGTGGGGTGGCCATCTTTAAATTGTCTTTAAGATGTCACCATTTTTGTCTGCACCATGATGTCATGTGCTTAACACTCTTGACATCTTTAATTTTTAGCCCTTTGGGAACGGATGAACAGTGCAGAGGTGCAGACAGATTATTACCGTCCATACGAGGAGAATGGCGCTGCAAAGAGTTACCAGAGGATCTGGTCAATGCACAACACTCAGAATACTCAGGGGAAGGATGAGACGGATATACAGTCAGACGGCTACTGGTACCATCGGAATTGGAACTCTTCGCTTGCTGCTGAAGATGGGGGACTGAACACTTATGGGAGTGTCCCGAGTGCTGTGATGTCGATTTTTAATTCAACATTCAACTATAGTACTGACAGATTGTAAAGCAATGTCATAGTTATTGTAATTTCTATCACACTTGTAAGGTTTCAATTTTATATCCTGTGATATGTAGGGAGCTGCTGTGGTGGCCTACACTGCTACCTGAAGGCTTGGGTCTGAATCCATATACTTCCAGTGTAGGTTCTATGGTCAATTTTTTATGGGGGGGGGGGGGGGGGAGAAATGACCCACTGCTACTTAAACATGTTGTGGAAGGTAACTAAGGATTTGCTGAAATCAGATGTGTTGGCCTAAAAGGTGCAGATATCACAGCCTTGCTGTATACCACAACACAACAAGCCAACTGCTCTTTTAAGAGTGAATGTTAAAGCAGAAGAAGAAGAAGAAGAACTCCAAACTGATTTTACAGTGTATCAGACATAGATCCCCCATCCCCCTCAAAATAGGCCTTAACTCTTTGAGTCCCAGGGGGTTTAGCATCACAGGCCCCAGGGACAGTGAAGAGAGACATAAAATCGGCGCATCATACGTTCATTGGGCTTCTACGTAGAAACCTATGAACGTATGATGCGTTCCTTAGGACTCAAAGAGTTAAAATTGGGCAGTGTCTTATACAGTGAGGTAGGCCTGCATGTACCATTATTGTTTCAGATTTGTCTCCACTCTAGCTTTTTACTTCCAAGATCGTGGTATGCTTTGTGTTCAAGCAATAAAATGTGACCTAAGAATGAGATAGAGAGGAGAATAGTATGGAAAATGCATGGCTGTGGAACCCTTAATTCTTTGTATGTAGTAGTATTTCATTTCATCACTCTAGAGCTATGTTGGCGTCGTCTCTTTTGTTTTTACTGGCAACATGCCTGAGTGAGTGAGAGAAGAGAGAGAGAGAGAGAGAGAGAGAGAGAGAGAGAGAGAGAGAGAGAGAGAGAGAGAGAGAGAGAGAGAGAGAGAGAGAGAGAGAGAGAGAGAGAGATGAGACAAGATAATCACAATCACATGATATGGAAAGTTGATTGGTTGTGAATCCCATAATTTGAGTTTTTTCCTGGAAAACTTCTTGCAATTTTTGGGGTGTGTCTTATACAAAGGAGCACTTGAACACCAACAAATATAGTAGGTGTATTAGCTCAAAGATACCCTTTAGAACACTAACATTTAACTGTAAGTAAAAAAAACTACACAAACCTCGGGTTTTCGAGTATTCTTCCTGTTAATAAAGTCATCAAATGCCTTGGATGCATGCATCGAGGCTAATTCTTCTGTCTGGAATGTCAAGTTTACAGATTGTTAGCAAACTTTGGTTTCAAAATTTTGTTACTGCTGTACCTATGTTATTTATTTAGTACAGTCATTTATGCACAACAGTAGTTTATATAATGTTTTGAAAAGATATCAAGAATAAAAGGAGCTCAGAGCTGGTCTCATAACCTTCCTTCCTCTCTTCAAGCTAAATAAATATGGGGTGTGCAATATTGTACTTAGCTGCCATGACCCTGTTTTGGATTTGAGACATGCCAAATACTGACGGACAGACAAAAAAAAAAAAATGCTAATGAGAAGAGAGAAAGAGATAGCTTGTGGTCAGCTGGGTAAAAAACATCCATAGATGAAGTCAAACAATGGATTCAATCTCAACAGACAATATATTGCTCATGCCGTTTACATGGTAATCCAACCATTAGGAAGGAGTTAATGCTATAATAATTAGTACCAATTTAGTTGTCTGAAAAAGTGGATTATTCTTTATACTCACGTTAGCGTAAAAAAGACAACTATTAGAGAAACATATAGTAGAAGAACAGCATCACTGTTTTGTGATTATTTTATCTGTTAACTCTTTGAGTCCCAAGGAATGCATCACGCCCTAATCGGTTACTACCCAGTCACCCAATCGGCACATGTCGCATACTGGTTTTTAATTGACCACTGGCCAGTATAACAACACAAACTAGCAGTTTTAAATGATATTTCCTGTTCTTTGTGTTGATGTAACATGAGATGAGCAATAGGCTTTTCAGAAACGTAGTTAAAGGCATAAAATTAGGCATTTCTGACAGCTTTAAAGAGTTACTACTCTGTTCAAAAACAATATGGCCTCCGAGCAGACTTCTTCATGCATGACAACAAGATTTACGACTTTCGAAGCCTCATATTTAAATAAAACACACATGCATGACAGGGCAGATGTTGTCAAGGAACTTTGGGAACAAATAAAGTTATCAGTATAGAAACAAGATTATTATGGCCTGGAGAGAATGAGAGACCTGGGTGTAACCAGAGGGTCTGACCGACTCGCTACACTCAGAGGAAAGGCAAGACAGACCTATAACCAGATTGTGACCGGTACCATCAGTAATGGAACTCTGCGCTGGTTGCTGAAGATGAGGAGGAAGCACGCATGGGAATGTCCCGAGTGCTGTGATGTCAATTATTGACTTAACTAACTAACTAATATAAAACAGACATTTATTAGATTTATCCGGACCTAGACAAAGAAAGTTACACAGTAGACTTGTTTCAGTCATTGACAGAGTCAAACTTTAATGAGGGATATACCTTACGCAAAGCCTACAATTATTACAAAGTCAACTATTACAGATAAAATAAACATTAGTGGAAAAGGCAATATTCAGTTTTTCAGCACATAACAATTTTCCACTTGTGAAATCTATTGCCCTCCTATTTTTTAATCACATTTCATTATGTTGAGGGGGAGGGGCATGGTAGTCTTGCCATATACTCCAGCGGAGCATGGGGGTCTTGCAATATACTCGGGGGTGGGGGGCAGGGGAGGGGGGGCACAACCTGGAGAAGTGTTGGAGACCACTGGTCTAGCATCACATGCTGGATGTGGCAGTGATAAAAAAATGGAAGAAAAAAAGGAGAGAGAGAGAGAGAGAGAAGGATTCTTTGATTTTACCTTTTTTTTTTTAAAAAATACAAGGTTTGTACAATAAACATACCAGTGCTTTACTCTGCTTCTTGGCTTCTGACATTTCATGAACTTTCAGCTGTGTCGGATCCTCAAGAGGTTCACAGTAGCCCAATTTCTTCCAAGTTTTTGGAGCAAGATACCAAGCGCCGTACCGAAACTTGACAAATGTTGGTTCATATTCGCCAGTAATTGTCTGCATAGAGACAAACTTTTGTTAGCTACTTAATTTATACAGACACAAACATGTCATTATCATCATCATCCAGTCATGCCATTATATGTCATACAGAGCTCACAGTCCAGTCCTCCATTCCATTCTATCCTGTGCGATCCTGTTAATTCCATAGATGGAATCCAGTCCAGCACCTTTGGCCTCTCTCAGCAACATTCATCTTAGGGTTTCTATTGGATGTCCTTGTTTCCTGAATTAATTTGTTTCCCATTTCAATGCATGCTTAGTGTTTCTCTGTCTGTCTCTCTTCAGGATGTTCACAATATATCGCTATCTACAAACGTGTATTCATCACTTAATATAGTGGTAAACAAAAACTTTTGTTCATTAGGAATTAATTTCTATAGATAAAAGTCCGTCAACTTATTTCTACACTGATGCAAGTTTCAATTTGCCTGCCATTTGATCAAGATGGACACAGGCGAGAGAGTGAGGTCAAGGAATTGCGCAACTCTTCCTCACTTAAATCCAAGTCCTTGCGCAAGTCACTTTCATCCAGCTATCACTAGAAAGAATCGTACTGCTAATCCAACACCTACTGCGGCTTCCATCTGTTGTCCGCATTGCTCAAAAACTTTCCTGGCTCATATTGGACTAATCAGCCACCTTTGTACTCATAATTATTGATCATTACTACTTTGGATGAAAGTGGTCTTCATCATTGGTGATGAACAACATTTGCCTGGTTATCAATTCTTTCAGTACCAACTAGCCTACCATACATTTCTTGGTCATTATGAAAGTGGTACAATGTTTTTTCTGTCTTCAGACCGTATACAACGGTATATTAACCACTCTTACGAGGAAAGTCTTCCAACACATGTTCTGGGGTCTGTTCAGCACAAAGACACTGACAGACAGCTGTCTTCCTCTTACCTCATGTATGTGAGTGTCTGTCGAGTCGGTGGTGTCCAGTACGTAAGTACAAAATTATGTCTTGGATTGCTCTGTTCAGAGACGTATAGTACTGGATCAGTGGCTCTCAACCTTTATAATGCTGTGAGTCTTTAATACAGTTCCTCATGTTGTAGCGACCCTTTAATACAGCTCCGTATGTTGTGGCGACCCTTTAATACAGTTCCTCATGTTGTAGCCACCCCTTAATACAGTTCCTCATGTTGTAGCCACCCTTTAATACAGTTCCTCATGTTGTAGCCACCCTTTAATACAGTTCCTCATGTTGTAGCGACCCTTTAATACAGTTCCGTATGTTGTGGCGACCCTTTAATACAGTTCCTCATGTTGTAGCCACCCTTTAATACAGTTCCTCATGTTGTAGCCACCCTTTAATTCAGTTCCTCATGTTGTAGCCACCCTTTAATACAGTTCCTCATGTTGTAGCCACCCTTTAATACAGTTCCTCATGTTGTAGCCACCCTTTAATACAGTTCCTCATGTTGTAGCGACCCTTTAATTCAGTTCCTCATGTTGTAGCCACCCTTTAATACAGTTCCTCATGTTGTAGCAACCCTTTAATACAGTTCCTCATGTTGTAGCAACCCTTTAATACAGTTCCTCATGCGGTGGTGACCCCAAAGATACAATTATTTTCTTTGCTACTTCATAACTTCAGTGAATATGTGTTTTTTGATGGTCTTAGGCGACCCCTGTGAAAGGGTCATTTGACCAAAAAAAAAAGAGTCGTGACCCATAGTTTGAGAACCGCTGTACTTGACCTATATTTGTATAGACTAATCAGGACTCGATCGGGGACGTAGTAAACATGAGGTCGGCCATCTTTACTTCTCAGTACATTATCTGGTACCAATTGCAGCGTGGGTCAACCTGGGAAGTGAGTTGATTGAAAAATATCTGCCTCGATGCAGATTTGAACCCTAGGCCTTCGAGCTGGAAGAAGGGGACAACAAATAATAATTACAATAACACTGTGTTCGTAAAAGTACTGGAAAACAGAGAACAGTGGAGAAGTGTGATCACTTATGTTTTATTCCAGACCAAAAAGAAAAAAACTGACAATTTGGAGTTTGGAACAATTCATACTTTAAACTTCTGTTTATATAAATATGTATACTTCAGAAAATTACCCTCTAAAATAAAAAAAAAATAAATCAAAAACATTCAAAGTTTAATTTGTGTTCTGTAAGCAGCATTCTTACTTCGTAGGCTTATCCATCAGTTCGACTGACTTTTCAGGTGGAGGAGGTGGGGGGCACATTGCTGAGAGCCTCAGCTCATGAGGAATGTTGGCCAGGTCAACAACATGAATCGGAACTGAGAGAGCCGGCTTTGTCTCATAACTGCACAAATGTACATGCTAATTAAGTCATATTTACTTTTTGAACAAAGAAGACACAAACAATAGATTGCACACTTATTGCCTGTCATATTTTGCTGTTCTTGTCAAGTAGATACTACAGTAAAAATAACATTTTTTTTTAACAATCCAGAAACCATAAATTGTTAACCCTTTAGCTCGTTACTATGGATATCGTAACCCTTCTGCTTTGATTCCATGATAGGTACCGTAAATCTGGGGAAAAAGTAGCTTTTCTGCCTACCCCCGAGAGTGAACCCACACCACAAGAAGTTCATCACCCAGTCACCGCAAAGTCAGCTTTAACCAACTACGCTAGAGAGCCGGGCTAACAATGATATAAATGAAGCAAATAAGTGAATCCTTTATAACTGAAGTATAAATTCAACAACAAACGAAACTGCCTGTAGTACCAGGGCAGCCATAGTGTTTGAATCATGTCTTTCTCTGTACAAAGTTCAGGGTAAAGGTAACGAATCGCGGCTGCTTAAAGAAATCTTAGCCTTCTGCCACTGAGTGTTAAATAATAGATCATAATAAAGTGTTAAATAACTAGATCATGTTTGTACTAGATGGGTGCAAAACTGTTAAGATTTATGTACTGGCCCGTCTTAGTGTCTTTCCTATATAGTGATCTTTAAACAGTGTTGTCATCAACATCATTATCCTCTTCTGTGTTTTCCCTTAAAAAGATGGCTCGGATATTGTGCTGTAGTTAAGAATAAGGCTGTGATATTTGTGCCTTTTGGCCGAACACCCAATTTAAAAAAAATATATATATAATCAGTGTAAAAATGTTGTTAATACAATGCAACTAGCAATAATCTGCGGGCCACTTCCTAGGCCTTCGCAGGTCAGATCTGGCCCATGGGCCACCAGTTGAATACCCCTGCTGTAGTGTACGGAAATCAAAACAATTAAATACAGAGGTTTTCGAACAAATCAGAATAATTTGCAGACTTCGTGTGCAAGAGGCACATAGCAATTCAGGCTGGGGGGTAACATGAAGAGATGTAAATCAGAGAGTGTGCAACAAGAACAAGAGATAGAAAATACTGGAGATCTATTGCAGAGAAGCTTCGTTCTAGAGATAGCAACTGATTGGATATGCTATCACTGTTAGACTGTGACCTCCTGTTTTTGCCTTGTGTGCACCGTCTGGAGGTAAGGTTGATTTGAATTGTAGTCTTTCACTTTTGTGAAGAAGACCTTGCAGTGTCAGGATCATGGACTGCTCATATTTATGGAATATGTGGGGCTGTGGATATATGTTATGAAGCCAGTACACGGGAAGACAAAATGGTTAGAGAATAAAGAAGGAATAAGATGATGAGGAGGAAGCACAGGAAGGAGAACACGGAAATAAAGAGCTTATACAGAAGATGGACAGATGGAATAGCTGAGACCGTAAACACCTGCAACTACATTGCATATACTAGGCTTTCACCTGATGCCTCTCCGAAATGTGAAAGGCAGAATATGACAAGAGAAGAAGAAATAGAAGATACAGAAGAACAATATGAAGGAGGTGACACATGACACAGATAGGGGGAGAGAAGAAGAGGAGAAGGAAACATAACAAGGGAACTTACTCACTTGGAAACAACCAAGGAAACTTAACATAGTTACAACAAGAGGAACCTACCCACTTGCAAACAGACTAGTTATTGTAGATTCTTCAATATTGTTTGTATCTCCACCAAGGTTTGCTACCCATTCACAAAAGTCCTATCAGAAAAAGAAAAACTGAAAACATTAGTATCATATAAAAACCTCCCTGTGAGGGACAGTAGAATATTAGTAGTAGTAGTTCATTTTACCCCATTAGGACATTAAACAAGCGATAAACACCCAATGACACAAAGTGCCACCATGTGGATGAGGATTACCCATGGAGAGGTCCCGGAAACTGCGTTCAGCCATTAGACTATATTTATGGCTGGGCTATATTGCGGCCGGGAGTCGCCGTGGCAGAGCGGCTAGACATGGGCTAGGATCAGAAGGTCGTGGGTTCGCTCCCTGGCGGAGCCAGACTTTTCTTCAAAAAATGACCTTGGCTCCCAGGTCGCCCCAGCCTTGAGTGGGTACTGGGTGCAGTCCCGGGAAGTAGAGGCGGCCGGCGTGATGCTGACCACATCACTCATCTTGTGCAGTTGGTCTATACAAATATAGGTCTAGCCCTATATGCCCTATACGCCTAAAGGCGTGGAAAAGGGTCCTTTACTTCGTTGTTGTTTTTTTTATATTGCGGCCCCTGGTAAGAGCCAGAGTAGGGCTTCAAAATAACGAAAAATTGCATTCCACAAAAAGATAATTAAAAAGAATAAACTCACTGCTCCCCTAAAAAGATTGTTGTGAAAATGACTGAATATGGATGTTTTCTTTGCAGTCAATCTGACTGAGAGGTGAAAATCAACAGCCTGCATACAAAAAAGCCAGCTCTGTAAATTAATGTTCATGTAAAACTAAGCCCAAAAGTGGATGAACAACCACAGCGTTCCGCCAGAGTTAGCAGCCGGCGAATGCTAAGACGAAGAAGAAGAAATATAAGCTCTGGTTAGTCAGAAAAACAAAATAACTGCATAAATATTTTAAAAATTAAATTAAAAAATTGTTTTGATAATCCATTTCAAATCGTGTTGCTGGGAGGCAAGCTGCAAAAGATAAGACAGAGACATCAGTTGAACTACTAAGAGCGTGTGAATTTCACCCTAACTGCCGGTTAATTAGTATTTCTTGCATTTGAAAGTCATTTCTGGACTTTTTGACTATAATCAAAAGGCCAGATCAATCAAAATTGTAACGTATTAAGAGCAGGGAGAACCTAGTCAGCAAACTCAGACACAAAAAAGGCCTATTCTGCTTGATCACCTGTTTGAAATCTTCAGGAAATTGGAATAATGGCCAGCATCGGGGACTGACATAGCAAAAAAAATGAATTTTTGTTTTAGGGCAATAGTATTTTGTGGCAGCTGTCGTGGTACAGAGCTAGATGCTCGCCCGCGGATCTTAAGGTTTAGGTCCTGACTGAGCCAAACATTTTTTAAAAATGACCTTGGCTCCCAAGTCAACCCAGCCTTAACTCTTTGAGTCCCAGGGAGTTTAGCATCATAGGCCCAAGGGGTAGTCAAAACAGATGTAAAATCGGCACATCTTGCGTTGATTGGGCTTCTAGGCGGAAACCTATAAACGTATGATGCGTTCCTTGGGACTCAAAGAGTTAAAAAGGTACCAGGT